TACAGGCTGGCCGGTGACGAGGAGCTCGCTGGCCGAATCTCACCCTTACTTTCCAAGACGAGTAACGTGCTGTGTTTTTTCTCACCCGCAGGATGTAAGTGCCATGTTAATGATGATGGATATCCACCCAGGAGACACCGTTTTGGAAACTGGCAGTGGGTCTGGAGCTATGAGCTTGTTTCTGTCAAAAGCAGGTGAGAACCTGGGTTTAGGAAACATAGAAGCAGCACAGTTCCCTTATCGTACATTGCTTTTCTTTTGACCAAATACTCATGATCTGTTCCTAAAAGTTTTGTTCGCATGTTCATACATAGTTTGTTGACTTAAAGGAAAATTACGTCTGTGCCAGAGCCAGTGCAGGGACTGAAAACTATTTTGACTGTCTTTCATGGGCCATAGCACACAGGGTTACCGAAGGCCCTGCAGAAAGCTGAATTTCAACTATCATTACTGTTGGCTTTGGCTTACCTGTGTTAGACTCTTTCTCTGATCTTTTGCTTTTTCTCCATCTTGATGGTCCACATGAATAATCAGATTGCTGGGCACCAGTGAAAATGCTGATGTGGACACACACTGTTATTTTTTCTTATTACAGCTCACCTAGTTTGATCTAGAACTCAGTACTCTAAAAGGTAGAGAGCCTTTGCACTCAGCAATGTGACTAGGGGTGAAACCTCACCCTTAAACTTCATCTCATCTGTAGGTATCCTGTTAGTGGACCACATTTCAGAGTAATTTGATTTAGGGGCTCTTGCTAGAACAACTTCCTTAAGGGAAAAGCAAAAAAACACCCACAATTGTGTGCTGCAGTTGTTTTTGTGCATACCTGAAAAACTAAGCACTGTTTGAATTTTGGTTTTGAATTGTTTTTTTTAAATGTATTTCTGCTATTGCAGAATGCTGCCCTTCCCTCCGATATTAAAGATGAGCTTTGAGTGTAGAGACAGGAACCTCATCATGGATCATCTTGAATTGATAGAGCAGAAAACCACCAGTTGCATATCCTGAAAGCTGTGTTTCAGCACAGCCCACCATCAGAGTAACTGAACTCTGGAGAGTGCTAGCAGTGGTCACTGAGCCCGAGAAGCACCTTTGTATCCTGAGCTCCCATGAAACCTCAGCGCTAATGTTTCTGTTTTACCATTTTCCAATACACGTTACAAAACATCCGCATAGACTGTGCTGTCTCTGCAAAACATTTACAGTTTGGGCTGCCTTTGTGGTTGGACTCTGTATCATTCGACAGCTCAAGATGTTTCAGTGCTCCCACTTGCAGCCAGCCAAGCATCTATGGGAGGGGATGCTTCCTCTCACCTTCTTGGGAGGGAGACAAGCTGAGCCCATCAGCTGCTCTTTTTGTTCCAGACCATTGAATAACCTTAGAACTTGAAGGCAGCAAATTAGTTTTCTATTACTCTCCCACGTAGCGGTGCTGTATGTCCACTGTCCCTTGGCACGTGTTCCAGGATAACAGTACAAGACTTTTTAGAAGCGTAAGTTTTTTCTGAGGAAGTTTATCATCCAGCAAGTATGTTACCAGTGCTATCAATCTAGCTGTGCTCTGGAATGCAGGTGATGCTGCTGAGGCTAACAAGGAATTAGGAACAGTTACATTCAGTGAATGGGACAAACTAGAGTGCTGAAGTCCATCAGGAGCTTAAAATTGGTCAGGGCATGTAAGCAATGGCAAAAGGAATCTGGAGGGTCCCCTATTGAGATAAACAGAGCAGTTTGTTCTTCCTGGTACTTTGTTTCAGCTGCAGTGATCTCCACCTATAATGCTGATTCAGTTGGAAACACTTATTTTGATGGTCAGCCATAAAATGCTGCCCCAAGATCACTCAGCTGCAGGTGGTTTTGATACATGTTGGGCCCAGGTTTTGAGGTCAGCAGTTGCACCTCTGCTCCCTCTCCCTATTTCTGCCTCCTACTGCGGTTCCTTAGCTCCTTCCAGTCATCTTTCTGCAATAAACTAGGTGGGCTTTTTAGTTACGTGATGGGATTTGAAGATAGTATGGGATTATCCATGAAATTACCATTGCTGCTGTGGGAGCTAGAAGCTGACAAAACAGAAGGCAAAAGTCAGCACTTCTCTTTCCAGACATGTGTTTGGAGAGAAGGAAAATAAGAGTCATTAGCTTTTCCCACCTTCCCCTACAGGCAGAGCCTAAATCTGCAGAAAGAGATTGAATACCTGATGTTGGCTAAGGCAAAAGTTAGATTTTGCTAAATAAAGTGAATTATTTTCTGCCTTGGTTATTCAGCCCACTGTGGCCATTTCATACAAACACACCTGGACTTAGCAATTGTTCCTCCTTTTTCAGTCTTGTCCAATAGGTTCCTTCTGATCATTTACTTTAATTTAGCTGTAACTGTGCCAAGTCAGCAAAATCCTTGGCATCACCAGGCTCTTAACCCTGTCCATGCAAAGAAAGCCGTCCTGGTGTGCCAGTTTAATTCTTTCTTGAGGAGAAGGAAAATGGTATGAGATTGTATTGCTATTTCCAAATTTATTGAACTTAAATCAGCACCAAATACAGGTAGTGTTAGTCACAGCTGAACACAATTTGGTGCTGACCCAGAAATAAGTAGACTGAATTGGCTCTTTCCTAAGGGTGACTAATTTTGCCACCATTTAATACAGTGACACCCAGCAAGAAAAATAGCTGCTGCGCAGGTAAATGCTGGAGTTTAAATCTAGTGGACACGTTACCAAGGTCCATGGAAGTATTTAATTTCCAAAACTTATTGACTGCAGAGATTGCATTCGTCTCCCTTCTCCGTGTTACTCTCAGTTTATGGTTTATTTTCCGTTCCTTTTTTCATCTTTCCCAGAAACTCCTGACATGCAACAGGACAAAGTTAAGGCTGTGTGAAGAATGTGGCATTTGCTATGACTTTAAGATCTTTGAGAACTGGAAAATACGACATACACAAACTTGAGGTGCTGCAGTTTTGCCTGTTTTAACTAGTTGTCCTTGTTCTTCCAGAAGTCTGTTTCAAAAATGTAGAAATTCTTTGGAATGAGCAGAGCAAGGAATAAGACTTGTGAACAATTTGATTCTTCCAATATTTCCAAACTGTTAATCTCGAGTAGTACGGAGCCGGTGCCGCGATTCTCCAATTGTTTCAGATGACCAAAGGCGACACCGCTGAAACCCTCGCTCCTTGCGTGTTGGCTGTGGCCGCAGCCTGGTGCAGGGGGAGCTGGATCAGGGAGAGGCTGCTGTGAAACCCATCCCTTTTGTTCCATTCTCTGGATGGATTCACAGAGGGATCACAGAGGTGAGGGAAGGAGCCTGGTGACTCCAAGCTAACATGGCTTAAGAAGTCACAGAACCTCACCGCTGAGCTGCTGGTGCTGAAAGGTGTCTGCGCCCATTCAGAAGTAGCACAGAGCAAGAGAAGGGAATGGTGCGACAGGTCTGAGAAATCAGAGTAACACAGCAATGCACGTCCTGCGCTCCGTGCCTGGATTTCCTCAGAACACTTCCTTTGGGAAGAACATTGTCTATTGAACTCATGGTAAATTTCGGGATAGTAATTTTATACTTAAAACAAGTCATAAAATAATTTATTTCGGTTCCAAAGGATAACAGGAAAACAACACAAGTCCAGGTAAATCAAAAAGGACACTTTAAAACTTGTCTATGGGACTGACGTCAGTGAGCAGGTCTGGGGTTTTCCTTAGCCCTTCCCCAACCTTAAGGAGAACAGAACGAGAAAGAACCATGCATAAAACAGCAAACCTTTCTAAAAACAAGGAGTGTGGAAAAAAAAAAAAATCATTAAAAACTACCAGTCCCAAGTCTTATGAACAACAGAAGAGCTGTCAGCTTCATGGCCTCTGTGAGGAGTGACCTTTGTGGCAGCTCTCTCAGCTGGTACCTCTGGTGACTCTGTCAGAATCATAAGGTCACAGGGCCACAGAGGCCCAAATCATCTTTGGCTGCAGGAGTTGCTTTGGGAGGACGTCTTAGGAACAGTCTGTGCTTTTCTATGCTGTATGTCATCTGTGGATTGATGGATTCCATTCTGTAAAGGAACTAACCAGGCACTTCAGCTGCATTTATTTGTTTTAAGTGGAAAGAAGAAATAAATTGTAATGGATTGTTTTCATATGTGATTCTTTCCTAAAGCAAAGCTGAGATTTAAAGGTGTACTTCTGTTATTTACTATGCTACTTTTTTCTAAATTCTTTATTACAAGGGGGGAAAGGAGTAAGTCTAGTGTCTTGTCTTTGTTTTCAGTTGGGCCCAAAGGACGTGTTATAAGTTATGAAATCAGAGACGATCATCATAATTTAGCTAAGAAGAATTACAGGCACTGGCGTGCTGCATGGGAAATAGGACACATGGAAGAGTGGCCAGATAACGTGGATTTCATTCTTAAAGACATTTCAACAGCTGCTGCGGATATGAAATCTCTAACACTTGATGCAGTAAGTCCAAAAAATACCCCCATTTGACACTTACCTTTTCTGCATAAATTCAGACCTCGAGTGCTCACACAACGGGATTCCCATATCTAGTTTAACATGAGAAAAACCAGTCAGGTCTTCATCAATGAAAGAAACATTGTGATTTTTTTTTTGCGGATTACAAGTATTTTCAAGGTTTCAGTTACAGGTTCTCAAATGAAAAAGTGATAAGGCTGTAGTATAGAAATACTAGAGTTGATCACTGCTGTCCTGTAAGCAAAGACAAACTTACTTTCCTGTATTTTGGAGAAACAGATATTTCTGTATCTAAGGCGTATTTCAAACATGAAACTTAAGAAAAATCCATAAGCTCATTGAAAATACAAATGTGTAAACACTTTGCTATCAGCTCTCTAGAACACACAAGGAAACTAAAGCCTAAGTTAGAGTAAGGAATGTTCTTGCTTGCTCTCCTCTCCTGCTTTTTCCATCCAGATTTTGTAAAGGGAGGCGTGCTGGGGAAAACAGCTGGATGTTAACCGCTCTACCATGTAAAGCAGACAAATTACTTACATTAACACTTCAAAAAAATGACAACTCTGTTAAATGGTTTGAGCAAAGAAATAAAATACACAGCATAAAAATACCATTTTTTAAAACTTCGTCAATCTACAGGAAGGATCAGATATGGCATATGCCACTGTTTTACAGTTTGTATAGTTTTCTAGCAGACGATGGATAACTTGACAAAGACAGAAATTTTCTCCATCTTCAAACAAAGAGCAAGTTAGACGTTGAGACTCTCGCGTGATCTTTGCATGACAAAGATGCTCTTGAATGTTTGGAGTTTTTTACATTTGAAAACTAGATATCCAAAGGTGCTAGTAGATGTCTTTCAAGTTTTTATTAACATCGGCATTATGGAATTTTATTAGTAGGAGGCTTAACGTTAACACAGGACTGCTATGTTGGTGAAACACGACGTGCTGTATTAACAGAAATCCATTTGAAAGTAGGAAGGACTTTGTTTGGAGAGGCAGTAATAAAACTGGTTTGTGGCTACATACTGCTCTTGTATGCGTTCATTTTCCAGAGATAAACATTGTTTTTCAAGCATTGTTGTTACGGAAAAAATTTGTTCGATATATATTAATGTTTACTGGGAAAACAAATGTATCTTTCTCTTGCAGATAGTACTGGATATGCTTGACCCTCAGTCTGCTCTGCCTGTGGTACACCCAAGTCTGAAACAGGGTGGTGTGTGTGCTGTGTATTTAGCAAAGTAAGTATTTATTTCTGGCACTTTTGCATTTATTCAGGCAGCACCTAACCTTGTTACAAAACCAAACATCATTTCAAATACACATCCAGCATTAAAGAAATGTTCAACAAAATTCTTTTTTCCCCATGTAATTTTTTTTAGAGAGTTTCACTCAGTATAAATTACACTTGGCTGAATCCTTTGGCCTTTACTTTGGGAATGTTCTCATTCTGGTCAGTGGAAGTTTTCATTTAATGACATCCTCAAAATAACTGAACTATTTTCCCGTTCACTAGTCAGGTTGCGAGCTCCTTTACCCTAAAGTTGAAGGACTCATGTAACCTCAAAGGTAAAGAATGTGACGAAGGCAGTAGAATCACACTAACAGTGTTACAGTTTGAGTTTTCCAAATACTACTTTATCCTTTGCCTTTCTTCAAAAGCATCACACAGGTTATTGACCTTTTAGACACAATACGGACCTGCAAGCTGCCTTTTTTGTGTGAAAAGATCATTGAGGTAACTCATAGAAACTGGTTGGTACTCCCTGCTAAAATCAAGAATTGCAAATCAAGACAAATGGTGGAAACACAAGAAAATAGTGAAGAACCACCTCAAAAGGAACACGAAGAAACCCACATTCAGGATCAAGTAGTACTTAAAGAAAGTGAATACAATGGTAAGAACATGATTGCTGACAAGATATCCTGTTACTGCAATTTGACAATCCAAAGACATAATGAAGGCAACGATTGTAGGAAGTGGCAGTATTTTTTTTCTCAGGTCAGATACGATTGTTGTGAAGAATAGATAAGGTTCTGGAGAGCCTAGATCTTGTCGGGTTTGAAAAAGGATATATTAATGGTTATTTAAATTTAAGTATCTTATTAAAAATCTAGACTAGCTCGAAAATAAATTGCAAGCTGCAAATAAACAATGGCTGCCCTTCTACTGCTGTCCTCTGTACTCATCCTGTAGCTGCTTGAGAGGACCCTGATGGGCTTAAGGATTCCAGAGAAGAAACCTTACCAGTGTGCTCTGTTCTGTAATCCCCCTCTTCTGGCAAATTCAAAAGAGATGCCTCATGCTAGTATAGATTTGCAAAACGTCTGAATATACTGATAAGTGAGAACAAAGCACTTGAACAGAAGCCAAAAGAAATGCATATATGTCAAGGAAAAATAATCCATGCCCATTGGCAACTCTAGGCTGCAGGTATGTTTTAAACTTGTTGGAAAGAATTAACAAAAATTACTCTTTGCAGAATCACTTTCTGACAACGCTGAAACATACTGCTCGGTGCCTTACATTGCCAGACCATCTTGTTGGCAGGATGCTCA